GTCCTAACTGACGTTTGTTTCATTCTAGCCGCCATTGTCAACTGTCAGAATGTCACAGTCAACAAATGAAATATGCGCACGAGTCAAGAATTATTTTAAAATTGCCGATATATCGAAAAGATTATATCGATATTTTTTTCGATATATCGAATGTAAAATATCGATTAAATTATATCGATATATTTGAGAAATATATCGATATTTACAAAATATCGATATATTCTTGCCATCCCTAGTTTTAAGTCCCTCCCCCTGAAATCATAGACGACACATTAGGGAGCGAAATCCAAATGCCAGGGCTGCGTTCAGGGGCGCGTTCAGATTGAAGAGTCTGGGCGACGTCCAGTGCAGAGCGTACCCGATAGAGTGCACTCCGAGTGTGCCTGGCGATTCGCCCAATCTGAACGGCCAAGACGCATTCTCTCCTCATAACATCACTATTTATGGGTTCTTTGATTTTGATTTTGTTGCCTTTTCAAAATTCACTGTGTTCGTGAATCTTACATTTTTGTAAAATAAGAAAAAAGAAAATTCAAAGATAATCAACTCTTATTTTATTTTATTTTGATTTTTTTGGTAGAACTATCACATATAAAATAATACCTCTTAACCCTTAATCCTTATTTTAATTTATTTCCTATTTTATTTCATTTGTTGGATAAACTCGCCATAACTCCCAACAATAATATTTACAATATTTGCCTTTATTATTGGTTAGAACATAAACATAACACAAACGCGCATGCGGGGCAAATTTTATCTTACTATTTTATGGGATGCAAAAGTGTGCGTCGGGGTGTCGTCAGGTAAAAATCTACTGACAATCTGAACGGCTGGGTAAATTTTACCCAAAGCAATCTGAACGGTCAGAGCGCGCTCGGGCGACAACCGACGTTCAATCTGAACGCAGCCCTGATTGAACGTCGGGTGTCGCCCGAGCGCGTTCTGACCGTTCAGATTGCTTTGGGTAAAATTTACCCAGCCGTTCAGATTGTCAGTAGATTTTTACCGGACGACGCCCGGACGCACACTTTTGCGTCCCATAAAATAGCAAGATAAAATTTGCCCCGCATGCGCGTTTGTGTTCTAACCATAAATAATAAAGGCAAATATTGTAAATAATTATTTTTGCGAGTTATGGTGGGTTTATCCAAATTCTTCGTTATCCTCATCAACTCTATTTAAAAAAAATGTGGCCTCTTTTTTTTTGTTTAGTTTGTGATGCTAAATTGATAGCAATCACTGACACTAGCACATCCTCGTGGTCCGAAGATGAAGCGTCCTCATCATTAAATAACTCTTTAAATATGAAGGAAGATACTATGGCTTCTTCCATAGTTAGTATTTATTTAAAAAATTTTGAAGAAAATGGCAAAAATGTTAGAATCAGTGAGGTTATAAAGAGAGAATGCGTCTTGGCCGTTCAGATTGGGCGAATCGCCGGGCACACTCGGAGTGCGCTCTCTATCGGGTGCGCTCTTCACTGGACGTCGTCCGGACTCTTCAATCTGAACGCGCCCCTCTTGGAAGCGAGGAATACTCGCAATTCATAACCTTGTACTCCGCATAATATCTTTCCTCCACTCATGAATCAGCGGTCGCTTTTTTTGGTCAAATTAGACGGTGCTAACTCAAATCTTAAGCCAATAATGGCCGGAGAGTCCAAGGTTGGACGCTCAGTCCCCTTTATTTGTACTCTATACACAGCGGACATCCCAAGTTCCCTAACAAAAACATCTCGTGCGTCTACGACACTGCGATATTTTTCCAGTCATTTTAATATGCACAGGCAACAAGTTTCAACTTGCACATCATCTAAACATTATCCTACCGTAATATGATGAGTGGAAGCTCGACGTAAATCCTCAGACAACTAAGCTGGTGTTCTTCTTCACCAACAACAACATGCCAAACTGACTTATTGGCATCATCTTCCACTAAAGAATGCATTTTCATCATCCACGTTTCATGCTTCCCAGCGCGAGCCTGGTCCGGAAAACAACTACTACGTTCCTCAATTTGCCCAAATCGCCATAATGTCATTTATTCCTATAAGCTCCTCAGAAGAAATTAAATGCTTAGGAGCCACGATGACGTATTGGGCCCGGACCAGACTGGCACATTACCTCAAAAAACTTAGAGAGTGACACTGCAGCAACAAGCGCATCCTGAGGGAAGTTCTGTCTGAGTCTAGTCTAGCAGAATTCTCATAAAAGTCTACAGGAAAAGCAACGAGCTATCCAACAATGTGCAATGTGCAACACAACAAGGTAGGTTCGTATTTAAAAAAAAAAAGTTAGGGAAGAGCTACCCCCTAGAGGGTGAGGCATGTTGACTCAAAAAGTGCCTCATTGTGGTTTCCCCTCCAATCCTTCGATATGTATTTGATATTTTTTTGATGGTATTTTTGGTCTAAGAGATATTCCCAATTGCTAGGTAGGTACTTTTCAACAAATTGTCACCCTGTATACAGGGTGAGTTCGGAATAAGTGAGCACTTTGTTATGATAGATAGAGTAGGTACAGTAGAACAATCACTTTTTGCATAGGGACTTGTGTTCGCAAACGTCTCGTTAAGAAAATACAGTGTTGAAATTTTCGGAAAATTTTGACTTTTTACCTTTAGATTCAAAATGCGTTGAGCGATTTTGTTGAAATTTTCAGAAAGTGTTCGCGATGTTCTCAAGCATGTTTCTCAAAAATCCGTTTGAGTTCCATTTTTCCAGGACCGGACCTAGAGCGACTCTTTTTTTTTAAGAAAAAAGTGGAACGCCCCTGAGTTTTTTGATAAATTAAAAATTATTTTTTGATTCCTTATTTAATTTAAACAAAAAAGGTATCCCGAGTTTTTCTTGTGTGATATGTGACGTTCACGACATAAAAAATTAAAATCAATGTATTGTTTGGAAAATCTCGTTGTTCGATACACTCGCACTCTGTTAGAAAAATAAGAGTCGCTCTAGGTCCGGTTCTGGTAAAGTGGAACTCAAACGGATTTTTAAAAAAGATGCTTGAGAACATCGCAAACACTGAAAATTTGAACAAAATCGCTTAAGGAATTTTGAATCTAAAGGCTAAAAGTCAAAATTTTCCGAAAATTTAAACACTCTGTATTTTCTTAACGAGACGTTTGCGGACACATGTACCCAAGCAAAAAGTGATTGTCCTACTGTACTCTATATCTATCATAACAAAATGCGCACTTATTTCGGACTCACCCTGTATATTGCACTGGATATGAGCCAATCCCGTTCTGTATGCTAATAATTCATCCTTTACTTCCACATCCGCTGTTTTGCCTAGTATCAGTGTAGAAAGTATGATCTGTGATTTGGGGAAAAAAGTAGGTTTGGCAGACTCTGACTAGTCACTTCTAGACTCACTACTGTCAAGTTCACTGCATGAGAAAATCAGACGACAACAATCACACTGAAATGTGTTTAGCCGTCTACCATCTACTCTCTCAATGCATTAAAACATGTAACAGTATCCCGAAGACTCTTTTTCTACAGACGTCAAAAAAGGATGACATTTTTCACACTCATTTCCGTTCGAAAAATGTCACATTGGTTTTATTTACCTTAACGACGTGCACGAAATATTTCGCGCACTAGGGCACGAAATACTTCGTGCACGCTCAGTGGTGATATTTCAAAAATACATAAATGGGCGAAAATTTAGCTCATATTTTCTGGAGTACCTACCCACTCAAATTGAATAAGAGCAGGACATTGAACTTTTTTGATTCACCCTCGAAATACATTAGGATTACGGTTTCACTCACTTTTTTGACGGTTTTGTGCGAACATCATCATTTTTTGATTTTTCGGACAAAAGGTTTGCTGCAATTGCAGAACTAGCTGTATTATTATATTGAGAACTACAAATTCTTCTACAATTTCTATTTCTAATCAATATTTTTTGCCGAAATGATGCCGCGTCGGTCAGACCTTGGGAAAAAACTTTGACAAGCAGTGTGTCATATTAATTTTTTTTCCGTAGCAACCATTTAACAGGCTGTTCTGAAATAGAATTTCCTTGAATTATTTGATTTTGATATTACCCATAACTATTTCAATTTTGTCTGTAGAAAAAATGTTGTTTGCAACTCGTGCGCGAAATGTTTTTGGTGAACTCGAACGATTTTTTGACTCCGCTTTGCGTCGTCAAAAAACTTTCGTTCTCGTTCACCAAAATGACATTTCGCGCACTAGATACAAAAATAACTATTTTTATTGTTAAATTAAGGCCTTGGTACCAGATTATTGCGATCTGTCAGTAATAAATCTTAAAAAAAAACTTAACTTATGCCTTTTGTATGGATTAATACCTAGGATCTTGTTTCCTGATTTGGTATACACTCGTGTTGCACTGACGACGCGACGACTAAAGTGAGTAGCTAGCGAGGGAACTTGCTTAACATGCTGGGTCTATATAGAAGCCAAACAACCCCCGATAAACTATTTTCTTATATTTCCAAGTTTACTTACTCTAAAAATAATGTATTTGAAAAAAAAAAACAAATAACTTAAATATGAGGAATTGCAACTATGCCGCCAACTTTCCAGTAGTTTAATTAAGAAAATTTTACTATTTGCCACAAAAATATCGTCAAATGTTCACAGTATCCAATTTCTTTAATATTTCACAATAAATCTGAATTCCTCTCAAAAATGTTTCAGTATTCAAATATTCATTGTGACTGTGAAGTAATATTTCATGATGATTTATTGGAGAAAAGCCCAATGCAGGAATGCCGAGTTCTCGAATCCACCTTGCATCAGTTGCGCCTGGACAAACTATGGGCCATAATTTAAGATTGCTAAAAATACAAAACTCATTGTATATCTGTTTTTTTTTATGTAACCTGAAAATGTGTTCATATGGAAGCCTATGTACACATAGATTACTATGCCAATGTTGAAACGAATTTGAAAATATGTTCTGAACATTGCTTTAATCCTAAAACCCTGCTCCTGAAATTGGTGAAACTAAACAAATTTAAAGTTTGCAATTAATATATTCATGTAACAAGTCAACAACAAAAAATAGCTCCAATATTAAATTTTTGGTAGGTGTACATATTATTATCAGCTAAAAGTAGTATAAAAATATTAATTTGTTTATATGCAAATTGCCCTATATGGAAAATTGTATTTTCAGTATATTTAGCACATCACAGACTGATTACTTTAAAACCGATTTTAAAACTACATTTAGGAAAATTGAGTAGCAAAGATTAGAAAAAAGACAATACATTTCTACCTACAATTGTTAAAAACAAATTAATAAATATGTGCTCATCCACATAAAATATTATTATATGGCCTCTAAACTTTTATTTTTTGAAACTTAATTGTACATAAAAAGGCAATTTATTCAACTGCAACCTTTGGAAAAATTCAGCCATATTTTGAACTATTTTTCAGCGCAGAATGCATCATTAACTTTGGATAAACACTACTAAGTTATGCAAAAACATTTATATGATCGCTTAAAATTAATTATTGCACCTAAGTTATGCCCTTCACTTATTAAAGGTAAGGGTGCTAATATTTTCCACAAACATCAAATTTGTTTAGCCAAAACTAGCACTAGCTATCCAGTTTTATCATCTAAATCAGCAACAGATTTAATAAGTTTGCAATAAATGTCGATTCCTTTAAGAAACAAATCTTTATTCAAATATTCATTATGGTCGTGGAGTAAAATTGGTGTATTATTTATTGGTGAAAATCCAATTGCAGGTATACCAACTTCACGGATAAATCTACTATCAGTGCCTCCAGGAAATATTTGTGTTTTGAGTTTGAGGCCGCTAAAAATGATAATTTTTTTTTAACAGGACAAAAAAGCATTTTTGGATATTAACTTTAGTGAAAGAAGCAAACAATTTGCGAGATAAAATGATTACTAAAGTCAAAGTCATACATACAGTTCATCTGCAGCATCTTTAAACGCCACCCAATAAGGATTCGAATTATCTATTTTTGTGGCTGGCACTTGAGGTTCTTTTTGTTCCCATTCAATCCAAACGTCACTACCTGCCTCTTTGCACCACTGTTTTATTTGTTTTTCCCACTGTTTGTTTTCCACAGTTACTGCAATTCGACAGTCAATCGTAATAACTAGTTCTGGCGGGACTACATTTGATTGGACTCCTCCCTGGAATTTTAATAAGTCAGATCTGGCATTCACAAATGTTTAATAAATACTGTTGTCTGTTGTACAAATATTTCTAATACAATAGGTACATCAATTCGAGTTAATTTTAAAAGATAAAAATAATTATCTCATTTCGTTAGAAACAAAATTCAATTGTCAAAGTGACAGTCCTGAATCTCATTTTAGCCTTTGGCTCATTGTTTTTTAATTGTAGTTTTGAGCACAGCTCTATGACCATCAGAATCAGGAATGAATTAAAATAAAAGATATGAACTTTCCATACGAGAAATATTTCGATTAGATTCGCCACACTGGCAAGAAAATACACTTTGAAAATTACTGAAATTTAAAGGTTCCAAAACACCCAGAAAATGCGAAATGCAAATTTACGCTCATTTTGGAAATTTTCTCTTTATATTTCAATTAACTGAGCCAAAAAAAAACACCTTCAGGACCGACTTCAACCATTTTGAGGTTTTTTAAACACTTTTGAATACAAAATACGTATACGGAAAGATATTTATGAGTATTATTAGCTTCAAATTAGGTCGTTTTTAACCTAAACTCGCCCTTTGAGACTACTTTGGATATATTCTAATTGAAAAGAAGAGGAAAAACATACAAAATGTAATTCCAATGCAATTTTACACTCATTATGGAAATTTTCCGTTGATATTACAAGATAACAAGCCAAAAGCAAGCACTTTTAGGACAAATTTAAACCATTTTCTGGGTTTTAAGGCAATTTTGAATATAAAATACGACTACAGAATTTTTTTTATGACTATTAGCTCTAATTTCGGTCGTTTTTTAGTTAAACGCGCCCTTCAAGACTATGCTGGATTTTTGATTAAAAAGAAGTGAAAAAAACTCAGAAAATGTTGAAGTTTTACATTTTTTTAGAGTTTTGGACAGAATGATATGAATAAAACAGATACAAATGCTTTTACTTAAGTTTTTTGAGATAAACATTCAGCTTTAATGCAGCAAAAAGAGATGGAGGTAGAGTAAAAGCATTTGCTACACTTTATTCATGCGATTGAATATCTCTTTATATTTAAATAGAAAAAGTGAACACAAAAAACGTCTACAGAGAGATAATTATGAATATTAGCTCAAATGAATCTAATTTTTCCAGTTAAACTTTACTCAAAGACTACTTTGGAAGGAATTCTATTGAAAGGAACTAAAAGAAGTCTACAGAAAACTAATTTCATACTATTAGCTTCAATTTAGGTCGTTATTTGGTTGAAAGTGCCATACTTTGGATAGATTTTCACCGGGATTTTCATTGAGAAAAAGTGAATACATGCAAAAAATGTTGTTGAAATAATATTACAGTCATTTCGGAAATTTTCTCTAGATATTTCAATAGAAAAACCTAAAAGGAGGCAATTTTAAGACAGATTTAGACAATTTTGTGGTTTTCAAAGCAATTTTGAACACAACATACATCTACAGGAAGATCTTGACTATTTTTTCAGTTGAAAGCGTCCTTCAAGACTACTTTGGATGGATTTTGATTGAAAAGAATTGAAAGAGAGTAGCAAATTCCATTGAAATGCAATATTACACATATTTTAGACATTGTCTCTTAATATTTCAAGAGAAAAATCCAAAAGCTAGCACTTTAAGGACCAACTTAGACCATTTTGTGGTTTTCAATGCAATTTTGAACCAAAAATATCCCTACAAAGTTTTGCAGCTTTGATCGGTGCTGCTGTCGCCTTACATAATTGGAAAATAAGAAACAATTTGCAAAGGGTTTTTATGATCTAATAATTGAGATTGACTGATTTTTTCTGGAACATCAAGAAGCCTGATTCGCTTTTTTTAATTTCCAATTCTTAGACAAAACACTAGAGTAAAAATCAAACGAGAAGAAGCCACACGCGTTATCGTTTGTCTCACTTTAAATAAGAGGGACCCAGAGAAAAGGAAATCTGCTTTCTTTGTCAGCGATGACGTCAATGGCTTTTTCTTGTTTGATTTTTTTTGTAAAAGAGTCAAAAATTACAGAAATAAGCCCATCTCAACTTTATTCAACTTATTCCTTCACAAAAAAAAAGGATGAAAATTCTTACGCTGATTTGTGTGAGATTAACTGTGGTGACATCACCAAGAGTCAAATTAGGATTGTCAGCCAATTTTTTCTTTTCTTCCTTCCTAAATTCAAAGAATTTATTTAAAATGTAGGATACTTTTTCACCGGCAGTATTTTCTAGTAGTAGTGAGCCATGGCCAGGGGTGCCAGGACAATGAATTCTCAAATCTAGAAAATTAGGCATTCATAAATAGGTATACTTAATATTATTTCAATAAATTCTTACGCCAAATATTTCTTTCTCCATAAAATAGTCCAAAGACTTCAGTTGGACAAGCCATTCCCTCATCCAAAGCAAAACCAATATTCAGTTTTTTAAAATCCTCAGACAGTACAAATTTGGCCATGCCATCAACTCCTCCGATTTCCTCATCTGGTACAAATGATACGTGCAAAGTCCTTCTCAAGCTTACTCCTTCCAGCTTCAGTATTCTGATAGCTTCTAAATATTGAATTCCAACACATTTCATATCTTGAGAGCCTCTGGCATAAATATCGCCTTTTTCATCTACATGGGCACTGAACGGTTTGTATGTCCAGTTTTCCTCGTAAACTGGTACCACATCCATGTGGCTGTTTAGAAGAATACTTGGCAATGAAGGCTCTGATCCTATCCATGATATTATCACTATAGGCTTGCCTTGGGCAATTGTATAAATTTTGATTGGCAAATTTAGGCCTTCTGCTTGGGATCTGAGGAACTCTTCACATGGACCTGGAATTTGTTTGTTTTGTTATGTCTGGTATAAAATAAATGATTTAGTAAGCGTTAGGTATCAACTTACCATAATCTATACAAGGATGTACACTAGGAATTTTCAAATATTCTCTAAAATTCTCAACAGCCTGGGAATTTAAAGCTTTCTTTTGATCAGCTGATATTGGCATTCTGACTTCAATGGATTGGCCAGGTCAGGGCCCACAGTTGGCTATAAAAGGATTTAAAAGAGGAGCTCCACTGAAAATAAAATCACAAAATAAGCAAAGGAAAGATAAAAAATTGTAAATTTGTCAATTATACTTAAATAAAAAATTATTCCAGAAATAAACAAGTGTTTCCATTGATAAAGAAACTTAAAAATAAATAGGAGGAGCAGATAAAGTTCATAAGAAATACCAACGTTGCCAATTATTCTACTTATTCTGTAAAAAAATTAGTAGGTAGTCGTTTGTTCTCTTGGTTCCTTGGGTTCGGGTCAGTCAAGTTTGCCACCGTGCCGCCCGATCTTAAAACAAAATATGTCATAATTTTGCACGACCCAAACCAAATTTTGCGTCAACGGAAAATTGTTCGAAAGAAAATTGTTCGAACGGAAAATTGTTCGAACGGAAAATTGTTCGAATTGAAAATTGTTCGAACGGAAAATTGTTCAAACGGAAAATTATTCGAACGGAAAATTATTCGAACCGAAAATTGTTCGAACGGAAAATTATTCGAACGGAAAATTATTCGAACGGAAAATTGTTCGAAAATAATTGTTCGAGAGAAACTTGTTCGAAAGAAAATTGTTCGAACGGAATATTGTTTTTTTTTTTTCGAAAAGGACTAGCACGCATTACATGGACGGGTTAGTTTGCGTATTTCTGGTTAGTTTCATTACAGTTCATTTAATGGTCAGAAGGTGTAGCGGTAGTAGTTACACTGGTTAGAAGTGTACTGGTTGCCAATAATATTTTGACCTGGCACCTTTTTGTCCGCTCGCTTTTGAGGCTTTGAGCTGCGCTCTTTTGTACCACCGCCGAATTTACGGTTCCGCGGATCTTCTCTTTGAGATTCGGTGAGCGAAGGTTAACTTAAAAGTTAAATATAAGCAATTTTTTTAACTTCGTTAATTAACGGATAACGGATTAACTGTTTTCTGCTCAGGTTTGCCCAGATATTTATATTCAGTTACTTCTTTTCTTCGCAACCCTATTCAATAACATGGCAGTTTGACAGAGTGTCATATTTTCAAATTTTCATTCATTCATTCTGTTTTTTGGAATAAGTCCTTAGTAAATTATATACCTCTGATTCCTATTTTTCATTTTTTTCAAAGAGCAAGTCTATGTCAACTGTGTCAAAAACCTTTTACAAATCAATATATTATTATTAAATGGTTCTAGATTATTGCCAAAATCTGTATGTGAAACTTTTTTTTATATAGGTACTGTTGTAATCATTGCAATTTTTATTTCTTCCGGGAAGGTCCTATTTGTCAATATGTTATCTGTCAGATTAACTATTTTTTCTCCTATGGTGTTTTTCAATAGTATTATGTCTTCCTTTGTGATTCTTCTTCTTCAGGCGAGCGGTTTTCCTTGGGTTCCTGCACTATATTCTGCTCCACTTCTATAATGTTTGTTTGGTCCATTTCGATTGCCTCAACATTTTCTTCTTTGAACTAATAAACATATTTTTTTCAGAATTTTTTTCCCTTGAGTTTTCATAATTTCTGAGACGTATAGTTATTGAACTCTTTGGCCATAACATCAGCTTCATCCTTTATAATTAGTTCTTTGTTTTTGATTTTTCCGATTTTGTTTGTTTTATATTTCTTTTTTCCACATAATTCAACTAAGACCTGCCCGTTTGGAGATTTCTAGCTTCATTTACTCATTTCTTTAGTTTTTTATTCACATCTATTTCGAAAGCTTGCTCTGTTCTGTCCTGTCTCATTATTGCCTATTCGTTTCCATGTTGTATAAAATTTATCTCTTCCCTTTATTTTCCTTGTAAATTCTGGCGTTACCCAATATTTGTGTATTTAATAGTGCAATGCACCTGCTCTCTAATCTCATATTTGTGTATATACCACACTGGTTACGATAACAATAAGCACTGTTGCCAATTATTCGATTAATAAAACACCAAAGTTTTTTGTGTTGCTGTGTTCAAGTATCACATAATTTCAGCACAAAAAAATCTCATATGCCTACCCTTGTGCGTCTTGAGACATCGAAGGTCAAAGGTCATGAAACTCGGGTTTCCGCAAAAATCTCGCTTCCAGTGCATCTGACGTCAAAGCACCCATTACAAAACTTACGTAAAATAATATTCTCTACAAAATTGTTCATTTACATTTTTTTCGTACGACTAACCGTTTTCGAGATATAGCGTGATAAAGCGGGAGCGCGCTTTCAAACTTAACAAGCAATTTTGTTTGGTGCAGTTAATACTGGTCAAATTAAATTATTATTTGGGTAAGAAAAGGAAAAAATATAGAATGTTTTTTGATTTTCTTTTGGTTCAATAAAAAAGACATAGATCATTACTATGCATCTATAATAGAATTTTGTACTTTGATGTTAAATAGAAAGGAAATCTTCGAAATTTCAGGAGATGCTATTGATGATGAATTCTAATATCTTTTTTAAAAATGCTGACTAGGACTGTGTGGAATAAGTAACTTTGGACTCTCAAGACAAGAATACGTATAATTTAAGAAAATTCTTGATATTTTATTTTCCAGGGATAATCATCAGGATCATGATCTACCACCAATTTCCTATGTTTTTCGCATAACACTCCATGAGAGGGCAAGTATTCCGAGAAATGATCGATATTTTTAAAGATTGGTGACTAAATATTTACCATAGAAGTAGAAATAATATTTCCAAACGATGAAAATGAGAGTGAATTCGATCTGGGGAGAGTACATATACAAACATTCTTTGGGTGAGATTTGGGGCTCATGTAATGAAATCACATATCGGAACAATTTTCAAAATAACTTTCATCAGACATGGGCGACATGGCATGAAAGAGCAACATTGGATAGCAGTCGTCGAAAAAGGGTACCTAGACAACTTCCATATTTTCCTCAAGAAATTGGCCCAGCATTTAAAAAGTACCTAAGTAGGTACCTACCTATTGTATCTCTGAAAGCTATTATGGCAATATATTGGTCCATTATTATCAGACAGCCTCCTGGTCCTCGGTTTACTGCTAGATATAGGCCTACTAAGGTCGCCTGTTTCTGGAAAGTCGCAATCCGGTTCGTTTTGAACCTTTTCAGGACCTTAAAAGGGGGCTGTTAAATGTTTCATAGAAAACTCATCCCCCTCCAAATAATAGTTGACAAATTTCGGGGATATTTTCCATTTCTGAGATAATAGGCCATGTTAGTAAGTTGAACGAGTTTGGACGAAATATTCCGACATAGACAAATGATCCAAGAAAATTACGGTGTGTAACAATATAAACTAATCCTGAAGCAATCTTTATCATCCATACTATCATGCCATATAGATCCATAAGTTTGAACCAAAGATCTGTGTGAAGTGTGACCACGGGTACAGTAGAAAAAAATACAACCTGCCCTAGAGTTTTTTATGTGTGTGTTTTCCTGAAGACCAACTCCTATCCTCTCAAAAGAGCGCTTCAAAGCGCAAGGCTTATATGACAATATTGATTGATTAATAATTATTTTGTGATAATAATACCAGTTGAAGGATCTCTGTGTTCAAGCACATTCTTCTAGTCTACTAGGTATGCGCACTGGGGAAACGAGTCAATTTCGTTTGTAATTAATACCTACTGTGTTTGAGATATTGATTAGTGTTAGACTTATTTTGGTAGTCTTAAGATTTTAAATAAGTCCACAACCCAATGAAATGATTACGGTTTCTTGGAATCAAACGCCTCGGAAACTTGCCTCAAAATGTCAAGCTACGAGCTGTCTGGCATGTGGCGCCATCCTGTTGAAACCAAACACTACACATGGCGTCCCGATGGCAATGACAGGGCAATAAAAGTGTGTATCTCACACTTTATGTTATGCGGATATTCTTTGGAATCAACCGTTACTTAGATGATTTGCAACTGTATCTTCGAAAAAATATTATCCCGTAATCCCTCAAAAAGTCAATAGTTAATACACTCATTTATAAAAAGAACATGAATGGTTACTTTTCTTTCGGTACCGTAGTGTCGGTATACTTTGCCACGGTTTTCAGACCTTTTCTCTGATATTTTTTTAACCGATATAGCAATTTGTATGACTACAGACTATGTATAAATTCCATGTTCTGGCTATAGATGCCTGTAAACACAAACAATTATTAGAAAGCTCTGCTTCTATTTATTTTTTTTTGTTAAAAATCTGGCAAAGTCTCCTGCAAATTGGCGACACTTTGCCAACGCGTTTAAAACCACCTAAATCTATATGTAAGACTATTATATGGGTTAGTTTGCCTTCAAATATGATTTTAAAAAAGGTACTATTTTTTTTTTCATTGTTGGAAGCAAAAAAATACGATTTAATATCAAAATATCAAAATCACTTAAGTCATTGCTTAAAATATTTCCCACTGCTTCTTTTACAGTATCTTCATTATAGTTTTTGTAGTGCCGGCTGACTATTTTTTTTTTGTAGATTCGACCCATATTTTGAACTAAAAAACCAAAAACGGTAAGAAATATATAAGGCAAAGACACCTACGAGTGGCTTGCAAGGTCGCACTTTTTTTAAAATCAATTAAAATCTCAAAAACCATTATTTTTTAATACTTTGAAGTGACATTGAAGTGTATATTTTGGCAAAAGGATTTATTTTGGGTTAATCGTATTCATATAGGTGTCACAGGTCTTACTATTTTAAGAATTAAAAATCGTAAAATTCTTAGCTTATATGCAGCACGTGTTCACTACCACCATAGCGCAGCAATCGCAAGTCTGACTATTTGCAACAAGTTAACCACGTTTTCTTTAGTTCCTACAACTTCCGCTAGGTTTCTGCCATTGGAGTTACAAAAAATATTTTTACAAAAAAAAAAGTCAACTCTGGCAAAGTCACCTTGGATGGCAAGTATACCGACACTACGGTATTAAAATAAAACTTTCAACGTTCCTGACTGTAGATATTGCCTGGCCTCGAAATTGATAGCCTTTTTGTATCACTAAGATAAGTAGGTACCTACTTATTACATATTACAATGGTCACATGAGCAAAAATATAATATTTTTTTCTATTATTACCTTTTTGTTTACAGCACAGATATATTACACACCAACCGTTCGTAACTAACTATAATTCCGGATGACAGCTATTTTCTGGTATTTATAACAACAGGCCCCTTTTTTCATTATCAGTGCCTGGTTTATCTTTCTGTTGCTTACGAACGACTTTATTTATTACAAGAAGTAAGGATGAGTACGAGTATCGCTTTTTAAGCTGCATTTAGCAATATGCATTTCAGACATACTCTAGGACTAGGTACCTAAAAACTACGATAAGGGAATAATTCATATGGGTTTTTATTTCGAGTTTGGTTTGGCCCATATATAAACTATTATAATCGAAAATGTGTTTTGGAAGAAAAATCTCGAGGTGTTACATCCTGTATTAGGTATAATATTGTTTACTCCGCGGTTTTCAAATTATACGTACTTAATCACCTACTATCAAAATGAGATTCTCTTATATCTATTGTGTAATTAGAATGATAAATATGAAATAGCCACAATGTGTATGCAGGTATAATAATTAAAAATAAATTATTTTGTTATGAGGATGATAGAAAATAATAAAGATAAGGACATTCTTGGCAAAGTAGGAACCCCATGGGAACTTGGTCTGCCATATTGGGAGTAGACATGGGCTAATTTTTTACTATTGAATATAGGTCGAGTAATAAGAAATAATTGCGCTGGTTTATGGATAAATATTCTAGTTTGACTGTCCGTAAATTCAGGGGTTTCTGAGAACCGACCAAAATTGCATCTTTTTTGGTTTTTTCAAAATAGCTTGAAAATAAAGCAGAATCCGAGATTTTTGATCGAGATATCGCCATTGTCATTTTCTACCACATTTTTCTCTCACAACAATAAGATCTGTGATAATAAGTCAACTATTTTAAGGTAATTAACAAAAAAATGCATTTTAATTCGTGATGGTACAAAAAAAATACATTATTCACTTAAGAAATCGATTATTCAATAGGTATTGAATGTTTTCGATGATAATGTCAATTTCAGTATAAAATTCCTCATCGACATCCATCTTCTTATGACAGTTCAGGGACATTTGCATTTTCGTAATCAATTCTGGAAAAACATGAGGCATTCGATGCCACACCTTCTGTACCTAACTATAATAATTATTCGTATGACACATTCACAGACATAAACGTTCTTCGGTAATCTTTTAAAAGTTCGTAAGGATGAGAAACATTTAGCAACAAATCTTAAATGGATTCCGTTGCAGCCCCTATTTCTTCTTGTTTTGCATCGTCTTTTGAAAACAATTTCGCAAACGTTTCTATCCTAGCGAAATTGTTTATAAGAAAAAACTCCAACGGAAGCTTGTTAATTACCTACCTTAAAACTCTGATGTTTTATTGTACAATAAATAATTGCCGAAAATTAAAAACAATAATTTATGAGCGCAAATGCGGTAAAAATAGAACAAAAGTGGTCAACTTTGAATGGGGGTATCTCGCCCACCGTTGGTCATACAGAGAAAACCCACGAGATTAAATGTCTTTGTTCTTTCTAGACCGTTCTTTTCTCTGAACATTCATATATCTATAAATAGGATGACCTAAACAACAGTTATAAGGACAAATTATTACCAAAGTTGCCAAATTTACGTTTTTTTGGGGAAATTGTGCACAATCTTGCAATACCGCAATAAGGATTTCCAGGAATGACCCTCCAATCAAAGTTGTTTACTCTAGAGGTTAGAGATAGCCCCTAAACACGTTCTTTGTCCTTAAATATTAAATACAGCAGTTGTCACGCTCATTAAAAATAAGACACCCGATTTTGCCCATTGTAAAATAACGAGCGATTGCTCATTAGCACATACGTGCGGCAATGACATATTATCTTTGAGAGAAACCCAACCGCAAATATTGATTTACACTAAAACTAATTAGCTGGTAAAAGACTGATTTACAAAAATGGCGAAAAATGACAAGATCTGTCAGTTGGGTGTCCCAGTTTCAAGGCTCATGATTGTACATCGTATACCAGAAGTTTCCAGAAGAGAGTTCAACCTCTTAGGAATAATCTAGTGAATTGTGGAAGCATCGAAAAGTTAGCCGAGACAGAGCGAGACGTATCTCCATCCTCATTACAACCCTTTACCCAAATTCCATCCTAAAATTACTGGATCCCCTCAAATCCCAGTAACCAATAGTGATGCCGCGAGACTCGAGACTGGTCTCGTGTAGTCTCGAGTCTCGAGATTGCACTTAAATTTTTATTTTCTATAGCTTTATCAATGGACTATTCTGGGCTATTTGAATATGAAATCAATAAATTAAATATCACGGTTACTCTTTACTGTGATTTTTCACTAATTGCTTTTTCACTGTGGCAGTTTGGACTCCCGTTATAATATAAAAATAAAAACCATAAATACAGGGTGTCCGAAAAATAGCGTAAAAGCTCTCCACGTAGTAGGGGACCCTTTGAGAAACCCTAGAAAAATAATTAAATTGAAAAAATTCTTCTCTAGCATTATTCTTGGTAATATGAAGAGGTAGATGTGAAAATTCACCTCCGAATTCTTCAGGTAATTGCATGGCTATTTAATTTAATTTATTTAACATATTGTCAACGGGATATTTTCAGTGTTACCAATTTTAATAAATATTAAAGTGCAAATAACTTTCTTAAGAATGCCACTAGATTTTTTAAAGTATTTTTCTGGGGTTTCCTGTAGGTTCCTCCACCACGTAGAGATGAGTTTTTACGCTATTTTTTGGACACCCTGTATAACTCGAGACCAGACGAGACCACTCGAGACGAGACTTTGGTACTCGAGACCGAGACTAAGTCACGGTCTCGTCTCGAGGTGTCGAGACGAGACGAGACCAACCCTAAGTCTCGTCTAGTCTCGTCTCGCGGCACCACTAGTAACCAAATAGGTACCCAATAAAAATACCCTGAGCCTTTTTCAACAATTTAGGCTCACTAAAACTTACTTGTATTATACTCTGTTTCCTTTTCGTTAGGAGTACAGGGAAAGGCAAAAAAGGGTCGAAGACCATTAATAAACTGTATGCATACAAAGTGTGTGTAACATCGTCACATCCTGCAGCATTTGATTTAAATTGTCTTATGATTTTGCTAATGTCTTCTTGAGAAGATAACACAAAATCGAAGATGGAGTCGTTTACCTATTTGATTTATAAAATTCAATCAGCCCAGTATCTGCCCTGGTATCGGAAAAAGTAGACAAGAAGTACCTGTTGATAGTTTGTGGATCTTGCAAATTAGGTGGTTATACTGGCTTAGTTTTTGACGTGATATTTATCCTTTTCGAACGTTCCCAAATCGTAGCAGCATCTTCAGAGTTAACAAATTTTAAATATGCAGCTTTTTCACGTCTAAGGGATGACAAAGCATAGTTACGTAAAGTTTTGTATCTATTCCAATTTTCAACAGTTTTGTTTTTTTTTTTGGATTTTTGAAATGCTTTATCTCTTTCTCTTTGTATCTGCTTTACTGCATCCGTAATAATGACAACATCTCAAAGATATTAGAAAGTACAGAAGAGAACAGAGAAACATTTATTATTTGGACGAAACGTGGGTTAACGGAGGACACACAGTCTGGCAAGAATGTAGAAATATCCATAATTCTCGCCAGGCATTTGTGGATGGCCTTTTGACTGACTTAAAACTGCCCTAACCAACGATTATCATGAAGAAATGAAGGCCGATGTTTTTGAAGACTACTTCACTAAAATGATAACATCAATTTCTGAAGGTTCCGTCGTTAGCTCTGGAAATGGCTAAAAGAAAAACACAGTGCAAAAGACATGTTGATGTTGATGAAACGGCTATAAGGAACGGGATATAATAATTAGGTTTCGCTTGTCGCCCAACCATTGCAAATTAAATCCAATTGAACCAATATGAGCTAAGGTGAAAAAATTTATAGCAAGAAATAACACCACCTTCAAATTACAAGATGTAGGAGAACTGTCATGAACGTCTTTCAATTACGTGACTGCAAAAAACTGGAGCACTGCTGTAAACCATGGAAAAGACTGTAGAACCAATAATTATAACTGGGGCAACATCTCATTCAGATGAAAGTGATTCAGGGGAAAGTAGGTCAGAGAATTGAACATTTTTCTAAGTCACTTTTCCCAGTGAAATTTATTTTTATACCTTTTTTGTATATTTAAATTCTATTATCCTTCTGTTTCTCTTGCAATAAACTTCTTGTATGCATTTTCATTATTTCATTATTGTAATTTATTCTCATTTTTGTAAGGAGTAGATTATTAATTTATGATATGTAGGTAGGTACAAAATAGTAAGGCGTCCCTTACCTACGAACGTCGCTGGTGGACAATTGTTCCAAAATATCGGACTAAAAGGCCTAAAAGCAAGTTTACGCTTCTGTTACATTTTCATATTATACAATACAATTCTAGAGGTAGGAATAGATTAAAATTGATAAAAAGGTGAAAGTGGAAATTGAAATGCCATCATGTCCGAAAATATGAGAAAATATTTCTCTTGAATAAACCAGACCCGCTGAAAATTCTCTGAAAACAGAGTGCGGTATTGAAAACGAGCAAACTAGATTACAAGGTTATCTACCTAATTTGTATGAAATAATTTGCTCGATTTAGTGCTGATGCAGTTTTCATATTGACTCAACCATATAATTTTTGAGAGACGAGCCAGTTATTGCCTTTTCTCTCTGTACTCTAGTATTCTGGGCAAAATGACGGAAGACTTAAGAGTTATCTATCTATTGTGTTGGAGAATAAATTCAATAATGTCCCACCCTTCTCATGACTTTCATGCCTGTTATGCTGTTACATTTAACTCGCACCCTTTAAGGGTAAAAAAATCTATTGATTTTCCTATCCTCTTTCCATCGCGCGCAACACTTCAAATTCCCACAGGTATATATCATTATAAAAGCAACACACAAAGAAAAATGCATATCAAATATGCATTAATCTGTATTTTTTTCAAATATTGCGTAATTAACGCCGCTATAATCGTATGGAGTAATAAAAAAGTTGAAATTTCACCGCTGCTGCCGTTTGACGATGAAGATTTCGAGAATTTAGTAAAAAAACTGGATGTAAATAAAGTGTATGTGTTTAAAGTGGGATTGAAAAGTAGGAATGCTGTTATTCCTAAAAATTTAAAGGAAGTCATAGATCCCTTCTATTCTTCGTATAATCCAAATGGGAATATTGGGACTTCGAAAGCTATTGGTAAGAATTTATTGCCTCTAATGAATCTAACAAAATTTGGATGAAAGCTATTCACAGTTTCTATTACTACATCTTGAATTTTTAAAAAATGGAAGGCCTGTAATCTTAATTTTGTGGTAACATAAAGCAACAATTTTTCACAAATATATTTAACATTATTCCAAGGCAATATTCTGATCCAAGCTCTGAAATTTGCAACCCTTTTAGGTAAGGCCGAGCCCTGATAATATATTTTTTTAAATTTTTCATTTATTAATCAACAATAGCAACCTTAAAACAGAAAAACACAAAATAGTTTACCAATTCTTAACACTATTTCCAAATATGTGGGTACACGATGGTACTTAAAACACTGTGTGTGCCCCTTTCTTCCTATATCAGTCTATCCCTTGAGGACCTTGATGAGGTTCCTAACTTGATTCAATTAGGTAATATCCCACATAACAAAATTGCATCCTTAGAATGTAATAAGAATGTTCCTTTTTTAGGAGGAATGTGCCTAGAATGTTCGCCAAAACCATTGCGAATGTCCTGAGAATGTTCTGAGAAAAGATTGTAGAAATACTGTTTGCAATACCCAAGAACTTCCTGGGAAATCCATTGGGATATTTCTAGAATATACCTGTGAGATTCTCAGTACATCCTGAAAAGAATATTCCTGTTTGATCCTAAAAATATGCTTGAAATGTATATTCTCACATTGAAAGAATGTTTCTATGACATTATAGTTACTTATGTTCTCAAAAGAATATTATACCAATATGCTTGAAATATTCTAAGAATATTCTATATCATTCTCAATATGCATCCTAGACATAATATTCTTGTTTGATTCTAAGGATATACTTGGAATGTTAATTTTCGCATCCAAATAATGCCCCTTTCGACCCTTTCAGTCCTTTTATATTAAAGGCAGTGAAAGAGTTGTTGGAAAACTTCTATGGAAAACACAAGTGTTTAACCAAAGCTCCGGTTTCGAGCTTGTTATGCTCTCGTCTCAGCATGCCAACTGAGAGAAACTGGTTCCAAGGTGATTCAAACGCGAGGCAAGATGTAGATCTTTAATAGCGCGTGGCTCCCTCTCTTGGAAGTCCTACAAAGCAAACGAAAAAGAATATACCTATAATATTTTTAGTAGGTTCTAGATAGAGCATTATTGTTTAATTGTTCAATTGAGATTTTTGAGTAGGTACCTACTTTAGATAATTAGGTGAACAATATGAAAATATTCTTATCATGGTTATCTACCTACATAAACTTCTCAGCACAACTTGGTAGGTATATTCTTAATACTTGATAGAGATATTAGCTGAAAGAACATTTTTTAGGGTACATTCTAATAATGTTCGTATGACAATATTCAAAAAATGTTATATAAAGTAGGTTCTTAGCACAATCTTTCAAATAGGTGCATAGAAGCAACATTCCTAGTAGGTACATAAATAGAACGTCCAAAAATGAATATTTCAATCGAAACAATCTTAGAATATTTGAGGGAATATTCTGAGAATATGAATGTTCTTTCACTGTTATGTGGGATAATAAAGATGTTATTAGCTTTTACTATTTTTACATTATCCAATGGATGTTGAAATTACTCTGACAAATCCACTGGTTTTTTTTTTCTCTTTTACATTTATTATATGGTTTGTTTCTTACATTCGTTGGGAGGTTCACTCTCTTGGAAAACTAACTGAGTTGGCTATATTTTATTTTCAAAAAGCGCATAGTAAACTTGTACTTTCAAAGTAGGCACTCAGAGTTAAAATATTTCTTAATTAATAGAAATTCAATTTTGCTTGTAATATAGATAAGATGCTCTTTCCACGTAAAGTTTTGGTCTAAATAAATTCCTAAGTATTTTAATGAAGTTTTTTTTTCTATATACATAGGTACTTATTTATTATGTACATGTGCAGGTTTGAGTCAAAGTGCAGTCATAGTCATGTAGAGTTAAATTTTGATAATCTGACAATAAAGGGGAGGAGAGAGGAGAGTGAAAAAACGACAAGTTTCGTTTTATCTACATGAGAGCAGACTATCGTTATAGTCTTGATTTTTTGAATTGCTGTCTCCGCTAACAATTTAGTCATCTCCCAATGAGGAAGTTGCATAAAATTTTATTTTGATGCAAAATGTATTTAAAGTGAAGCAAAGTACTCTAGAAGTATATTTCCATATTCAAATCCTCTTTATACTGAAACACTAATAAATAATTAATTATTCAAATATTGAATATAACAAAGGGTGGGAAAACGCTCTCCTATTGGTTATAACGTCATGGAACGGTAAACAAACAAAAGTGTGGTTATGATAACGTGATACGTGAGCCGTCAGACGTTTGTGCTTATATCGAATTCTACCGATGGATTCAGCATTCTATGTCGGTCATTATCATTTTCCTTTAAATAAACAAAGATACCCCTCGTTTTTATTCTAATCGGCGACTTCACCGATGAGTTAGCTATTGTTATAATTATTATTTAGGGCGGGTATTATAAAACTGCTTTGACAGTTAACTTGAAGTTAACTTTTTGAATTACATGTAATTCCAGAAGTTAACTTTAAGTTAACTCTCAAAGTAGTTTTATAATACTCGCCCTTAGTCATATATATTTGTTAATATCATTACTACACTATATCTTTTCTCTCTTAATGTAAAGGGAGTGAGTTCACTGGAAGAGAATTGATTTCCGAAAACAACGTAACACTATCTTTGTTTAGTGAATGGAAAATGACAATGATCGACATAGTCGCATAAACCAATGACAAAACACAATGAGCAAGAGAGAGAGGGAGTACAGATACTCGTTTTGACGGATACCGTCTTGTGACGTCATTCATTTATGAGTGCGTTTTGGCGCGAAGAGAGTTATTGTGAATTTCTATATTTTTTTATAGAAAAACTATTAGTTGAAAATTTAAAATTTATGTGGCAAGTGACTTTTTACAATGTGAAAAATTGATTAAGAGAATAAAAAAAAAAATCTGCAAATTCCTCATTGTTCCCAGAGATAATTATGGCCGAGTCATCAGCAAGACAAAACACTATTCCCTCATCAACAAACAATGAAAGTACCTATGTCATTTATATAAATGTCGAAGAGCACCCTAACTTGTGGCGCGCCAAACTCTATTTCCATCTGCTCATTTATCTCTCCTGAAATTTCAGTACACTCTGTTTTTTTTTTCAAGTAGGACTTTATAAGGTTGCTAGGACTGCCTTTCATTCCTAAGTATTCTAAGCGTTGCAAAAGGAGACCATAGTGTCACACAAATGCCTTCTGAGTCTAAAAAAATCGCAATTACTTTATTACCCTGATCCAAACCTTTCAATAATATGATGGCTCCAGTGACCCTGCACAGGGCATTCTCAGAAGGCGAGTCCTCCCCGGAAGCAAACAAATTTTTGTTTAATAGTTGTATTTTTGAGTTATCGGACATGTACGATCGAACGCGCACATTAAAAAAATCGCATATCCTACAAGGCAAATAAAAAGTTTTTCCATTATGTAGCACACTGTATATTTATAAATAGTATATAATAACGAGGCATTTATCACTGAGCTTCCAGCCTGCTTGAGCTGATTCATCATTATCTCATCTCCAGGAAATTTTCCCGACTTCATATCATGTCATTCACGAACTTTTCACCTTCCTTTCTTGCCATCCCTGAAATATCTTCCGAGGCAAATCAAAGTGCCGATAAATGCGGACATCATAAAATTCTTCGTAAAAGGACGATAGTAGTAAGTACACTCCTCATTTGCAGTTGCGTGCAGTTGCGTTTCCGACTATGTTTTTTTTATTTTATAAATATTTTATGTGTTCTAGTTTTCGACGAACTATTCTAGTCACTCCCAATAGCCCCAGTATAGAATTCATTGAGAGTATATCTATCTCACGAACTATTCGTTTGTGGTTTGCTAGGATGAATTTAATCTCGTTCAGTGTTGTTCTGCCAGGGGTGCGATTTTCGAAACCATTCGAGTACATTTCCTACACGAACTTTGACTGACAGCAATATAAATTAAATGGGGAGCAGTCAAATTTCGTGTACGAAATGTACTCGAATGGTTTCGAAAATCGCACCCCAGATCTCCGCCAAGTCCATTGTTTGTTAAATTTTTTCTTGACGAATATATTCATGATGTAGAACTGTTCTATTAGGATTTTTCCCTATTGCTTCTATGGCCTTCGACATGGTATTGGACACCACTTTCTCGAAGTCATTTTCCTCTGTTTCCACTTTCCTGTTGAATTTGCCCATGAGTCGAGTGTATCTGCTTTGTGTGTCGTTAGAAGCCTCTGAAACATTCACGATCCATTTAGGATTCGTCGCTGGTTGAAAAATTTTCAGCAATCCCGCGACTATTGTACTGTACTTGCGTGCTCTTAATATCAGCAATGTCCTGGCATGGACATTGTGGATGATAAACTCCACGTCTTGCGACTGCCTTACATTTTCTACTGCAAACGACCAATGTACCTACATATTTTAATGGTTGGATTGAATACCTTAAAATACCCTCAATATCATTGAACATCATAATATATGAGTGGTTGAATTACAATACGATTATGTTGATGTAAGATGAACCAGATTTATTTTAATTCTAGTAGAAGCCGATTCAGTTTTTGCGTTCAGAAAAAGTATATTTGTTGCGATATTTCAAATGCCATTGTCCAGGTGTCGTTCCTGGTGCAAAGTAACAACATTTGACTGAGAACACTTTTTCTCACATCTTTATAAATACATTTTTTACTTCTTCGGGTATATCAATGGAAGTTACAGTTCTAATAATATTTTAAATCTAGAAATTAAAGTAACACATAAAAATATTGACAGAATTAACAAAGAACTTCAATATTTAGAATTGAAAATTAATGAAATTTTACCTATATTTATTTGGAACAGTGGCGCACCCAGGTTTTTTATTTGGGGGCGGGGGTTTTCATAATGATGAACAACTGTTTTTATAATCATGTGTATTTAAAAGAAAGAGAGTTTCCCACATGGTTGCAAACATTCTAAATTCCGTCTCCACCAATCAAATAAATTTGTTCACATAAAGTCTGTTTTTTTTTCAAGATAATTCCTTAAGTCAAAAATTTAGTAACTATGTTGGCAACATAAGCCTTTTCTACATAAAAAATTTGAAAGCATGACAATTTTACATTGTATTGTCAACATATTGTCATTTTGACTTTTATCTTAAAAAAAAAACAAACTTTACTTTGCTGATCATTCACAAATTTGCAATCGTTTTGCGCGCTTGGTGGAAATGCACCTTTACATGACCGCGAATTGCGATGCCGGGCCAGGTTACCAGATTTCCATGTTCTTGTCTTGGTTTCGATTCCAGATTTCAGTAATTTCGTGTAACGTAAATAGGATATTTTTTTTATGTAATATGGAAAGTTTGTAGGTAGGTACCTATTAACCAAAATCCCAAAAAAAATATTTTTACGGGAAAATTCTTTGTACCAATGCTAAATTTCGGGGGGGGGGGTTTAACCCCCAAAACCCCCCCTTGGGTGCGCCACTGATTTGGAATGAATTCAAATACAGACAAACTCAAAGCTTCAACTGTGAATTTAAAAAAATTAAAACAACTAATATTCGTAAATTAGAACATCTAAAAAATAGTAGTAAAATCAAAATCAAAATTAATTCCAAATGTTTTAGAAATCTAACTTCCATTGATATACCCGAATAAGTAAAAAATATTTTATCTCTTGGACCAAAATTTAGTATTTCACTTTATAAATACATATCACTTTTTTTTAGAACTTTCCCTTTCGGAAGACTGCAATGGAATAGAGACAAGCAAAATCCGCAAAACAACAGGCGTTTTATCAAATTCTACGAACTTTTTGTGTGTCCTTGACATAACTTATCCTCGAAAAAAACGAGAAACTGACGACGATGGTGTCGAAAGAGAACCAAGGAAAAATTTTGTGCCACAAGGTCCAGTAATCTACATAGGCCAAACAAAGAAAAACCAAAGCGCACTTCTTTACTCTTCTAAACCCTTAAAATTAGAAGTAAATCATAACACCAAATATCTTGGCAACACCGATAATAGCTTAATAACAGTTGACAATAGGTTAAATATTCCAATACCTCTCGAGAAGAAGGGGAACAAAGTTATTTTACGATTCGGAATTTCTTTGATCAGTGGATACTGGTACCTTCAAACAGCCAAAGTAGAACTAGTAGGGAAATCTACAAATGACAGTTTTAACTTTGATTTAAGTACAGAAGAAAATATAATGGCTCCAGCTCATTTTTCATACCATTGCAATGGGCAGTCAATTTTTTATGACCCTACTAGTGGTACAAAATTGACAATTTACGACCTTCAAGTACAAATTGATGCTAAGCAGGAACGGTTTGGTGATGCAAATGATTGTGTTCCTTTTACTACTGCCCCTATCTGGTCTGGATTGTTTGTAACCTCTATTTTGGGTAAGGATCTTCTACAGTTTTCTAACCAACGCGGATACAGAACTACTACTCTATAGTATTTATACTAATACTATAGACTAGTAGTGTGTCTGTAAACTTTAACAAAGGTTTGGTTGAACTAGCATAGGACATACCTCAACTATAATTATGCAGTAAGCTTATAGGTTTGAAATTAAATAACTGATTTTTATTTTAGGTCTTGGACTAATAGTAGCAGTTACCGCAATCCTGGATATAAAAACAATGGACAAGTTTGATGTTCCTAACACCAAAAATTTATACATCAATGTAATGGAGTAAAATCAGTTCCTCGAATCGCATATTATTTAGATTATGGATTTGCAAAACATCTTCATATTTCTCTAACAAAATGTTTTCCCAAACATACATATCTATTTATATAAAAGATATAGCTTCTATAGACTCTAATGTCTATATTCCAATTCTTATGATTAAATAAGATATATTCAAAATCTAAAAAATTTCTTGTTATTAATATAGCTTTCTATCTAAAAATACATAATTCTGTTCAGCAATAACAGTTCCATTTGTGACAATTTTATTATCATTCTATATAGGATGATATGATAATGATATTCACTGTATATTTTGTATTAATAAACCACAATTTATCAACAATAAACTATTTATCTATAAGCTACATGATAAATTTAAACGTCCTTTTACTCTTTCACAGCAGGATTCCATTATAGAAAAAAAATCCCATTGGGCGTACATCAAAACTTAGGATATGATCATGTGCAACGAGAACATTGAAGAACATTTCGCTAATCAACTATACAGGGTGTATCAGGTTTGACTACAAAAATTTAGCACGTGAAAATATGGCCCATTTTGAACAAAAAAAGTTTATAGAACATGGGGTCCAAACTCAACCATTTTTAAGAAAAAGGCCTTTGAAGTTTTGATATTTTTTGACGAATATTTGAAAGATAAAGAAAATTTTATCAATATATGAAATCTGAAAAAAATTATTTCATTTAACTATTAAGTAATTATGCATTTCTAGTCAAAAACAACAATTAAAAATTAAAAAAAAAAAGTAACATTTCAATGTTACTCGTTATTCGGTTTCTAAACATCTGGCAACATAGCAGAAAAAAGAATAGGCGGTTGAACCGATAATAATTGAGTCTTGTCAGTTAATTGAATTATTAAAATTGAATTCATTCTGTTTGGTAAATAAAATGTTTACAAACGTCGAATATGCAGATATGTTACTTGTTTACGGAGAATCGTTACAAAATGATCATTTAGCCGCCAGAATTTGCAGGGAAAGATTTTCTAATAGGACGGCACCTAATGAAAGCACATTGTGCTCGTTTTGCAAAGATTGCGTGATAGGGGAAGTGTAAGTGTGCAAAATGTTAATCAGGGACCTGTAAGCCAAATGACACCTACCAATAAAAAACAGATTTTAGCGATAGTGGAAGATGTCTCTGGAATAAACACTAAATCCATTGCCCGACAAGTTAGATATTCACACTCAGTTAGATATTCCCAACAATTAATCGGACCCTCCGACAAAATTTGCTTTTACCCGTGTTAATGCTCTGGTCTTTTATTGGGAGCTTTCTGCGAAGTGTATTCTGTCTTCACTTATGGTGATTTTAGTGTTTTGAACAACAAGAACAATCGAAAAATTCGCCTTCGTGACGTAGGCGAACTTTGCATTAGATTAGGAAACCCCAAAGCTTTAAAAAGGTTTTATAAGAGGCTGTTATAGCAAGTTAAATATATTAAGTAATGATTATGATATTATAGCAATCTCTGAAACTTGGTTGAATGAGTCAATAAATAATCCCGAATTTAGTTTTCAGAATAGAACCACATTTAGAAAAGATCGTGATCGATTAATAACTAATAAAACCCAAGGAGGAGGGGTATTATTGCTCTTGAGAGACACTTTCATAGTCTCGGAAGTTAGGATTTTTGATGAGGATCAGGAGGCATTGTGTGTAAAGATAAAGATAAATGCTGTGTCTTTTCTCATTGTGGTAGTGGCTTACTTTGTCCCCGAGAGCCCAAGTGATGTTTATGAGAAATTTTTTAAAAAGATGGAGCATCTTCTTGATAGTAATAATTCGGAATTTATCATAGTTGGTGACTTTAACATTCCCAGCTATGTTAACACTTTATCATGTAATAATAATTTAAAACTGTTAAAATCATTTTTGTCCTTTAATAACCTCATACAGTTGAATCATATACGGAATCATAATAACGTTATTCTAGATCTTGTAATTGCCTCTTTTGAGAATGTACAGGTTGACAGAACAGAGGATTCTCTATTGCCAGTTGATAAACATCATCCTTGCCTGAGTATCTGTTTGGAAACTAGGTCCCCTGTCGAACACTGTAAAGTCGTATTCATTTCAAAAAGGCTGATTTTCATTTAATGTATAGATTATTCGAAAACCAGAACTGGACTGTTTTGGATAGTATTGCTGATGTCAATTTGGCCATTGATTCTTTCTACAATATTCTTAATAATATATTTCAGCAGAGTGTACCAAAATCTACACAAATAGACAAGAAATATCCTGTTTGGTTTAATGGAGAAATCATTAAACTGATTAAACAAAAACATAAATATTTTCTAAAATCTAAAAAGAATAAATCTAATTTTTGGCGTCAAAAATATATTACACCTAGAAGTACAGTAAAATACAGGATCAGGCTGGCTTATAGCAATTATCTCCAGGAAGTTCAATCGGGCTTACAGAGTAATCCTAAGTTGTTTTGGTCATACCTAAAAGGACTCAAGGACTCGCCAGATATTCTTCAGGAGATGATAAATAATGATAAAACCTATGTGGGCTCTCAGCGGGTGGCGGATGGTTTTGCTGATTTCTTCAAGTCTGTTTATATAAATGACAATGATGTTTCATGTTCCTCTAGTGCCCCAAGATCTTTCTTTTGTGAGAAGTCTATCTCGACAGATGATATAGACATGGCAATCAAAAGGCTCAAAGGAAACAAGGCAATTGGTTCAGATGGAATACCAGCCTATATTCTAAAGGGCTATAGCCAACATCTATTGAAACCGCTGCAAGTTGTATTTAATCTAATTATAAAAACATCAAATTATCCAGAAAAATGGAAAATAGGTAAAGTCATTCCGATTTTTAAATCTGGTGTTAGACAGGATATTAAAAACTACCGCCCCATATCTATTCTGAGTTCAGTTTCCAAAGTATTTGAAATGATTATATTTGAATTGTTATTTAGTGAAATTTCTGGAAAAATTACTTCCTGTCAGCATGGTTTCTTCCCTCATAGGTCAACATTCACCAACTTAGCCACATTTAGTCAATATATGCATGAAGCCATAAATAATAAATCGCAGGTTGACGTTATTTACACGGACATGGAGAAGGCATTTGACAGGGTCAGACACTGCGTAATAATTAAGTCTCTCCAGAACATGGACGTGCCTTTGTATTTGATTGGGCTAACTCAGTCATATCTTAGTAACAGGTTTCAATATGTTGAAGTTAAAGGTTGCAAATCACGGATCTTTAAAAGCACCTCTGGTGTGCCTCAGGGTTCTAATTTGGGCCCTCTCCTCTTCTTGGCAACAATAGATAATATTGTTGGAAACCTGGAAAATGCTGTGGCCCTCATGTTCGCCGATGATTTCAAATGTTTTTTCCAGATTAATTCCGTTGAAGACTGTGTGCAACTGCAGAATGATTTTTGTAGTGTGACTAATTGGTGCGAAAATAATAGCTTTAAAATGAATATTGCAAAATGTACCTGTATGTCCTTTACCCTTAACCACAATGCTATAAATTATGACTATAAATTAAATGGTACTAATCTCAAACGAGTTGGCCAACAGAGAGATCTTGGAGTGGTGTTTGATTCTAACTTGTCGTTCTCTGGTCATATGGCATCTAAAATTGAAAGTGCACAGAGGGTGGCAGGATTTATCTCGAGAAACACAAAAAACTTTAGAATAGAGGTGAGTCTACATCTTTTTGATAGTTTGGTGGTTCCCATTTTGGAATATGAAAGCATAATTTGGTCTCCGCAATACAATGTGTGGGTTACATTAATAGAAAGGGTACAACGAAATTTCCTCAAATGCATGTATTTTCGAAAATTTGGTATTTATCCGCAAAGAGGTTGTGATCAGGGCTACCTACTGAGCATTTTTGATAGGCTTTCCTTGAGCAAAAGAAGGGATAGGGTGATTTTGTGCACAATGTTCAATATTTTGAAGGGAACAATTGATTGTCCAGAAATGCTTGCCCAGTTACCATTTGCAATAAATCGATTCAACTCGCGAAATCAGAATGTTTTTTATTTGGCATATCCTCAGGGCCGTATCTAGGGGGGGGGGGGGGTTTTGGGGGTTCAACCCCCCCCCCCCCCCCGAAAAATAATAAAATTCAAAAAATTTAACTTAAAAACAAACAACACTTATTAAATACTTATTTATTTTTTTTATTTTTATTACTAGTGTAACAATTCTTTTTTGCCACTTTGTCTAACCCTCCCCCAAAATTTTGGTCTAGATACGGCCCTGCATATCCTCGTACTAATCTGTACAAAAATTCTCCCATACATAAAATGTGTCAGGTTTTTAATTTGTATGCTTTCGATATTGATATTGACACAATAAATATCAAAGCTTTTAAGAAAATTATTGATGAAAAGCTACGAATGTGAGTATTGTTTTTGTTTGTTTTTTTTTGAATTGTTTTTTTTTTACTTTATTATATTGTGAATCTTTTGATTAGAATTAGATTTAAAGTTTACTTGTAATAAATGTAAGTTTGTATTTGTGATTGGCCTCTTGGCTGTTGATACTTGATGAATAAATAAATAAATAAATAAATAAATAAATAAATAAATATATACAGGGTGTCCCACGGTGGATGGCGTATTAGACGTTTATAGAGAACTAAAAAGCGGATCATTTTGAAAATTTGGCAACCGGGATAAACGACCATAATCTACACTTTAAAAATATTTTTGTTTATGCGGTGTTGCCGCTTCTACTCTAAACCAGTGGCAACATCGCTATTTTAAATAAAACACCCTGTATGTGATTGCATATTTAGATTCTACGTAAAATTCTGAGCAGATTTTATGTGATATACCCTATACCTAAGTTCAACTGTTTTGGAAATATTGACAGTTGAAAATTGACTTTTTGCAACTTTGACAGGCTGTAAAACCTAAACGGTTAATTTCAGAGGAAAACCGATCTTACATTCCTATCTTAGATTTTCGTAAACTATCATTTGACACCAACTTTGAATTTAACCAGAGATTAAATTTGATTGGAATTTTTAATCATGGATTAAATTCAAAATTGGTGTCAAATGATAGTTAATAAAAATCTAAGATAGGAATGTAAAATCGGTTTTTCTCTAAAATTAACCGTTCAGGTTTTACAGCCTGTCAAAGTTGCAAAAAGTCAATTTTCAACTGTCAATATTTCCAAAACAGTTGAACTTGGGAATAGGGTATATCACATGAAATCTGATCAGAATTTTATGTAGAAGCCTAATATGCAATTAAATACGGGGTGTTTCATTTAAAATAGCGATGTTGCCACTGGTTTAGAGTAGAAGCGGCAACACCGCATGAACAAAAATATTTTTAAAGTGTAGATCACGGTCA